ACTACTACTACTACTACTACTACTACTACTGCAACTACAACTACAACTACAACTACAACTACAACTACAACTACAACTACAACTACAACTACAACTACAACTACAACTACAACTACAACTACAACTACTCCTCCTCCTGCTGCTGCTGCCGCTGCTGCTGCTACTCTTGCATCTATGACAACCATAGCCGAGTGTTAGATATATTGCATCGGCTTTTTGCACGCCGACTTTGAGGATCTATTGCATCAGACGTTGGCAGGTAGCAGCGGTGCTGCAAGTATGTGAGGCCAATGTGTACAGAGCTCACGGCTGCGCGACAGGAAAAAGACATTTATGCACGTTGGAATTAGCGAACATGTTATTGGATCCTGACCGTCTGAGGCTTGTGGCTTACCTTGAGTGGGACGCGCTGAAGCAAACAAAGCGAAGCAAAGTCCCGCAGACCTGCGCAGGATGGGCTGGATCTGGCATGAGCATCCTAAATAAACCCTAAGCCCTAAGCCCTAAACTCTCACTTATCGTAGGAATTCTCTCGCATTTACAGAGCCTGTCTTCTTCGGACGTCACTTATTGTGTCCTTGTGGCAGTGGCTTTCAGCTTGAAACTGACTTGGAAGTAAAGCGTGGCTTTGCTTTTGTTTGGAGCCTGGATGTGGCATTCCATGTCAGGACGGACGGAGAAGCATCGCAACAATGATCATAACCGCGCAACAGCGGCAGCCATGCCAACACCAAAGGCTATCTATAGTCTATGGTAGGCAGTTAAAAATGGTAGGCAGAAGCAAGTAGAAGCAATATCGTCAAAAGTAGAGGAGCTAGAGGAACGCCTGCTTGTTTCCAAAATTTAGCATACCCACAAGGACACTCAGAACTTTGTGGCTGACCCCCCTCTTCTGCATTCACCTTGGGTACTTTAAGTTGACAACTTAACAAAACCCTAACCTTGAAACAACAAACCCCTGAGCCCTGGAACCCTAAGCCGGATCAAAGAGGGGTCCCGGCCACTTCCAAGGTGGTGCGCCGTGGCTGCGTCGAATGAGCTTCCCGAGAGTGATGAGCTCGAGGCGCACGGTTTGGATGTGTAGACCCCTGACTCACACGAACATTCCGACCATCCAGGGAATGAGGGCAACCACCACCAAGACCGGGAAGGGGACCTCTCTTGATGAAGATTCTGGCACGTAAACCCCACCATTCTACCTTGAAGCAGGACTAGCACAAGGATTCCGACCTACCTAGGCATCAGGATCAGGGTCAGGTCAGCCCCCCTGTCAAACAGCATGGCTCGCTACATGTCCTTGTCATGCCGGCTTCGGCTGACCCAAGCAGTCGAAAACCCCAGCAGGTGGGGTTTACGAAACTTGTGGTCCTGATCTTAGGGTCCTAGTACTTAGGGGCCGCGTACATGGTATAGGCCCTAGGTATTGAAACCTCTACGTGATCAGGCTCTCTTTGACCGCTTCCTCCTGCGCGCGCGGCCCGTGAACCGGGGAGTCAGACGTTCGCAGTCGGGTTTAAAATAAGGGTTTTACGGGATATTCGAATTTGGGAGGTGAAGTGTGTTGAGACACCCAGCTGCAGGGCATCAGATGGGCTTGCTTCTGGTCTACAACTACTTTTATGGGACCATTACAGTAATGAACCCAAAACGCATGTATAACACCCCACAGCCCGTATAAACATGAGATATCTGAAGTTGTTGCGATACCCTCAATCCTATAAACTCAAAGTGAGTGCCGCAACCCGAAGCCATTGAACGGCTTCCCCGCATGAGGCCGGGCGGTTCCGAGAGCGAGTCTCTCAGATTTTTCGGCTTTGGGGTTTTGAGCCTTTAGTGCATTAGGGTTTCGGGGCGTTGGGCTTGAGGGTTTTGTTTGGGGTGTTTAGGCTTAGAGCTTTGGATATGGAGTTGTTGAAGCTGGGACTTCCATAGATTCCGGATTTCGAGATGAAGGGTGTTGAATTGAGGGTTCGCAGTGGGGCACATGGCTTCGGGTTCTAGGAATCTTCAGTCCACATGAGGGTTTGAGTGCATCAGGTTTTGAGGGTTTAGAGTGTAAGGTCTGAACCCTGAACCCTATCCCTGAAGCCTACACCCTACAACCCTAAGCCTATAAACTCGCAAAAAAGTAAAGATTGAAAGACTCCTCCGAGGTCTCAGATGCGCAGGTGCCTTTCTTCCTCCGCTGCTCCCTTGACGCAAATGCAGCAGCCTACGAGGCACTGCAGTCCTTTCAAGCTTTTTGGAAGGGTTTTTGTTAAGGGAGTTCGGTATAAGGGTTCTAGCCTTGAAACCTGACTAAACGCAGAACCCTGAATGCCCGAAGCTTTCAACCCCTGACCTAAACGTGAAGCCCGATCGAATTATTATACAACCTGCTATCTGAAGCACAATCTGCGTCGTAGAGACCAGGGAGCACCGCAGAAGGTATAGGGAACTGTGGGGTTGTAAGTGGGGGTTTAGGGCGTAAGGTTGGCTACATGAGACTCGTCATCGAAGCCTGCAAGAGTCTGCCGTCGTGCCCCTGACATACGCGTTCCCCTGCACGAATGCCTAATGCAGAAGACTATCTTAGTTATGAGGGACGGTTTGGGGTTGAGCCAGGGCTTCGAGGCTACATGCGCCTAGGACAGACTCCGACTGTCCCTGGTTCTGGCAGGGTCTCTTACCTCGACCCCTCTTTGCGAGGAGGCTGCGTCAAGCACACAGAAGATGGAGGACTACTCGGAACCTGCGAGTGTGGTGTTTGAGATTTTCGGCTCCGCCAGGGCATTGCAAGTTTGGCTGGGAGGAAGACAGTTTGTCGAGTCTGGACACTTCGGCTGTGGGAAATGATCCTGTCACGCGGCCTCGCATCCTAGATCCAAACCGGCCCAGTCCAGCGTTGTACAGCGTGGCCCTGTCAAACTTGGGGTTCCTGCACCATCGAGCTAAGTCATCGGGGAAGCGCAGCAGTCAGCAGAGGCTGCATCCCCAGAAGCCCGTGGCTGACTGTAGCAGGCCCAAGTCAGCCGCTGGGTTGTCGCTGTTCTATGGACTTCACACCCGGAGTCTACAATAAACCTGTCATCTTCTACTGTCATCCGGCGAATATTTACAGTCCCTCCAGATTCGGCCATGGTTTGCTGCCCCTCGGGCTCTGAGCCTTACTTGGCGGCGGAGTTCCAAACCCGCGGGCAAGAGGGAGATGCGCAGGGTGTGGGTGGCCAACTTGCATTGGATTGTGCATGACTTGGGTTTGCTACCGACGCATGAAGTGCTACATCAGTGGGAGTTGCTGTTTGTCTGTGAGGCACGGCTTGTGGAAGAGCCGCTGGCATTAATGCAGGTCAGAAGGCAGTTCCGGTTGGGGTGCTTGTGTTGGAGCAATGGGTTTGGCTCGATAGATGCGTGCGTGACAGGGGGTTGATCGGTTTGCTTGTTGCAGGTGGGGGTCGTAGGTATCCGTGCTCCGAGACTGTCTGGGTTCACAGTCGTTCGATGGGATATTTGGTATCTGCCGTGTGCACCTGGTATGCTTTGTTTTACAAAGCTGTCCTACTTGTTCAAGGACTCTTTCCTCTGCCCTTAATCAGCATGACTGGATACTTCCTGGCTGAGGCTACTACGTGGTAGGCGAGGGCAGCCGCACGGCAATCTTGTTCCTTCCGGACAGACGTGGGGCTCGTGGTCGATGAAGGGATGCTGATGGTCTTCAGCTCTCGAGTTCAGAAGGGTTACTCACAGTAGGCGACGGAAGCTAGAAGGCCAAGGATCTGGAAGCTGCCATCTTTCGTGCTAGAGTTGACCTTGCAGAAGTTGCATGCAGATTCCGATGCACATCCCTGATCTTCAATTTGGGTCATGCAAAGTAATGTTTACATGGCCGGGTGCCCCGAACTCCTTACGCCTGCAACTGATCTTCCCGAAAACTGAGTCTCGACTTCCAAGCGTCAGAATCAAAGCCGAAGAGCCATGTTCCCAGAATCTTCTAGTCCCGACATGCTTTGACCTGGAAGTCTGTCTTCTTGCCTTCGAGTCTGAAGCTGCTAGACAACTTCGGATCGAGATTTGAACATCGAGGATGCCAAGGCTAAGGTTGCTACCCGAAGCACCATTACAAATGAAGCTTAAACCCCCGGGGGACGACACTCCTACTTCACCTCTGCTGCAGTAACGGCACCAACAGCCGGATAGAGCGCACGGTCATCGTTTGAAGAGACAGAGGCACATTCATAGCTGTCACGCTGACGAAACTCATAGTAAGCGCCGAGATTGAAACTGCATCCCTCCGCGCCAAAAGAGGACATCTGGGGTTGGAACGGCGGCCGCACCCGTGCCCTGGCCGACACCCTGGCGGCCGACTTGCAGACGTCGGTGTGGATCCCGAAGATCTTGGAGCCTTACCAGGATCCGAAAGTAGGTGCCTGAATAATTAGAATACGGTTTGGAGGTATCTTATACAGTATGTCTAAAGAGACCATAAACGAATATCCTTATGTGGTTGCCTTAAGCATAGTTAGACTTGTGGTTGGGGGCATCTTATACTATACTATATTTACAAGGGGACGATAAGACATATATCTAGGAGTTGGAAGGGGCTGGGACGGGTTGAAGGGTACAGCAGGAGGGATGGTTCAGGAATTTGGGGCCTAGGGCCCTAGGACTGTAAGCGCGATCTTCAACGCACATGGCGAGGGTGCAGTTTCCAAGCTCGAAGCAAATTCGAGGCTTTCTGGGGGAGTTGAGTCTCAGTGTTTGGCGGATGCTAACATCATGGGAAGGCTGGCAGAGTCACAGGTGAATGAGGTGCTGTGCCAGTAGTGATGCTTTCTGTGAGAGAGTCTACAGTCTATGCAGGATCATGTTCAGAAGTCCCCCGAAAACCCTAAACCTTAAGAGCTTTGTTTTGGTTGTTGTGTCTCTTACTTTGGTGACTGGTTAGATTTGAGGTCTTGGTGCGAGATGTTTGCGAGTCTTTTGGTCTCGGGTTTACTAACTACCTCAGACCTCAGCCTTTCAGGCGTTCTAACTGGATTGGCAGGCAGAGAAGAGGTCCCCCCAAAAAAGCTTTATAATCCCTACTGCACAGGGTGGCACCGATGGGGACGGGCTACCACCGGCCTTTGACATGGTCTCCCGAAGGGCCGAGATTGCGCCGGACAGGTTCAAAGGCCATCGCGGTTCAGGGTTTGGGAACAACGATTTTAGAGTTCGATTCCTTCAACTCCCCTCGGCTTCTGACCATTGTCATTGCTGCAAACTGGTACCACTGAATCCTCAGCCTGCGATAGATCGCCGTCGTGGGAAGGTCGGTAAACGCATTCCGCAAGATCATTATCATGAAGTTTGGTTGTGCGAGTGCCGGGTCATGGCGTGCGGCTGATTTGGGGGATCCCAAGTTCATACGCCTTTGCTGCCAACTGAAGATCGACAACTCGAGGATGTCAGAGGGTTCGGCGTTTGCCTCGACATGTCAAGATGCGAGGTGTGTTGCATTTATCCTTCAGGCAACTCCAGCCTGCAACACACGACTGAAGTACCCTTCACAGATGCGATTGAATGGAAGGGCACAGCTCCTGCAAGTCTGGTTGTGATCACAGCAACATTCGTCAGCTATGGTCTGGATGGCGGAGGAGCTAGATTTTACTTGTGATGGTGGTTCTGATGGTGGTGCTAAGGGAGGTAATTTGTAGGCTTATTTCAGATAGATACTCTTATGGAAACCCGAAGCCCACATCCGTAAAGCTTGCCAGGGCCATGGCATCCAAGCAAAACGCTGCCGAAGGTGCTGCCCGGCCCAGCACTCCGATCTTGTGGGATTTAGGGTTTAGTATCCAGGACTTGTAAAAAGTATCCCCTGAGTGCCCTGAACACAGACAGAGAGAGACAGAGAGAGAGAGAGAGAGAGAGAGAGAGAGGGGGGGAGAGGGAGAGGGAGAGGCTATTCGAGCTCCTTTTACATCCACGCCGGACTACACGCCTACACCTTCAACGCCCTCGGCCGCGATACAGTCGGGGACGCTCGCTCCTCAACATTCACCGCTGCTCAGGCGTGAGGGGGACACTGCCACCAGCTACCGGAAGGGCTGAGCGAACCTACTCCTTGCGTTTACGGTCGTGGGGATTCTGCCCAAGAATGCCGGGTCGAACAGATTTCCTTGTTGTGCAACGTGACATGACGACGAGATCATCAAGAATGCATTCTTCAAACAACGGTGCAACGGCAGATTGGGGAATGGCGAGTTCCGGACGGAAGCAACCCAAGGGGAAAAAGACAAGGACAGACCTCTCACACTGTCAACTCTGCTGGAAGCTTTGAAAGAGAACCGACAGGAAATCGTCGCCAAAGTCAAAGGGGACATGGATGCCCTCTCCACCCGAGTTTCCGAAGTCGAGAAGACCATGGAGAAATATGTCACACATACCACCAAGCTCATGCACTCCCTGACCGCCATGGCGCCATGGAAGAGAGTGTTAAAGGTGTGGGGGACAAGCAGGAATCGGTCCTTCAACGGTTTGAGCTACTTGAGGGCAAATTCGCCAAGGCGGACTTTCAGCTTTCCAGCACGCACCTGGAGAGTGATTCAGGCCCCCCAAAAGCCCGCCCTCGTGATCGGGGGATGGGATGTGACCAACACCACGAAAAGACATTAGAGCTGGTCAAAAGCACAGGAGAGAGCTTCATGCTTACCTGGACCTGTCCCAAGCTTTCGTTCCATGCTTCCGCCGTGGCTTCGCCATAGTGCCCCTAGTCACACAGCAGGGGGAGGACGAGCAAGCCATGCGAACACGAGTGCAAGGAGTACTTTGCCTTGTACGTCAAGCCAAAGTCGTGACTGGGCAGCGACCTCAGGGGGGAACCGCTTCCTCTTCGCCACAATGAGCCAAAGCCCGGATCGACGCAAGAGAGCTCAGCTTGCAGCCCAGTTAAACCGATTGATCATCGAAGAAGGGGGGGATCCACGTCGCATCGAGGTCGCTTCAGGAGATTATCTACGACCAAGGCAAATTTGACTCCGCGCTAGAAGAACTGCAGATGATCTTTGGCAAAGGCCTCGAAGACTGGCGGGGGAATGCCGTAGTGCATACTTCCGATCTGCAGCACACCAGGGGGAAAGTCTTGTAAAGCGCTGTTTCTTGTGTTTTGTCGTCCAGTGAACTCAGAGTTGGGGCACTGTCCAAGTAGCACACACCCTAAGCTCTTCTTTTCTTCTTTTTCCTTACCTCTTTCACATGACACTCCAAAACGGGGGACCACCGAAACAGCGCTCACAGGAAGCATCTCTTTCCAACGAGGGACACTGCCCTAAAACAAATACATGACCGCACTTACCGCAGTTTGTTGATTTAGGCTAGGAGCTTGAGCCTCCGAAAAATGGAGAAAGCATGGGGACCTGCCCAACGAACTTTGTGTACGCATGCTATCCCTCTAGGGCCACTAAACATTGCTGTTGTCATTGTTTCGCTACAGATGGGCATAGAGTTCCAACCGCACGGGGACAACGCCTGCCGATGAAGTGCCATCTGACTTAAATCTTTTATTGTGGTGCTTTTTTGTTGCCACAGGATTTCGGCAGACGTCAGAACACTGCTGCATTATCCTTCTGATGACTAGACTTGTAAAATCCGGGGGGGGGGGGCTGGTAGGCGGTTTTGGGACTACACACCTGTCATTTTGCAGGACAGGTGCGGTCAGTCGGAGAAGAAGCTAGATTGCTGATCCAATGCACGCACTTCTCCTGTCTCCTGAGCTTTTCGCACCGGGGGATGGCATGATGTTGCGCCTGGTCTTGGAGAGCATAGTTCGTTATCGTTCACTATAATCTACTGTAAGACCTCAGTCACTGGAAGTATTATGCTCGTTTGTCACACCCTTCCGCCTGCATAATAAGTGCGGTGGGCCTGTGGCCCGGGGTTCTTGATCGACCCCTACGCCCAGGAGAGAGAGGGAGAGATAAAAGGAACCCTCTAACTCAGAGCTCTGGCCTTTTTGCAATTCCTGAGGCCCAGGGAGAGCGATCGCGATAAACTAGCGGTCTTAATGATTTGAGCAGGGTTCGCTTAAGGTGTTGCAGGGGGGCTTGTGTACAGGGTGCATCACAGGGTCCTTGATAACTAGAGTAAAGTTTCAAAGAGTATGCCATGGCACAACTTATGGGTGCTACTGTACAGGGTGTTACTTTGTGGCATTGAAGATGCATGGCGGTGTTCCGGCTGAGTCAACAGGTGCCAAGCCAGTGATCATAAGCCCATCACAGCCTGAGAAGTTGAAGCCCGCGAGCACCCAAGCCCCGAAGCCTTCAGCCGTTGAAAAAAACCCTCGAGGCCCAAAGCCTGAAGCCCGAAGCCAAATCCAACAGAACCGTTGAAGCGTTTCGTACCCCAGCGAGCCGAGAAATGAACACCCCGCACCATAACATTTACTGTATGATCGCCCTGGAAGTAGCCCTTTAGTAAGCCCAAACCGTGAAGAGGGTGCCGTTTGAGATAGCCGAAGCACAGGCTGAAAGTCGTTGACGCCATGCGACAATCCGGTGTGAAACGGTCGCCTGTCCTTGTTAAATGCTTACTGTTGTTTGAGGGTTAAGTCCTCCCGTGCAAAGACAGAGCGATGGAGGAAAGTAAGCCAACCGCCTCGGGGAGTAATGATGGGCGGTGGTCTTTCAGTGTGAGGCTTCTTTCTGTGAAAACCGAAAACTTGAAGTCCCTAAAGCCAGAGTAGAAGCACAACCAAGTAGCATCAAGACCCGTGAGATCGTTTTCGTCGGATGAAAGGCAGGGACACCCAAGAAAGAACCGTTGTGTCTTGTTTTCGTGGTGCGGCTTCATCAGTTCATCAACTGTGTATGGTCGGAAAACAGACCTCTGGCTTATTGCCTTTCGGAAACTTGGTTGCCCTTCATCGTGGGCTCGCCCTACGTCCAAAACGAGCTGCGAATCTGAAAGACTGTACGAACCAGCCGTAGGTCCCGAACCAACACCAGGAATCCTAAGCCCGTGCCTAGCTCATGCCTTAGTCATTAGTCGCAGCCGCGCTAGGTGACGGGGGATACAGCAAGGTCTCCCAACGAGCTAGTTCCGCACTTCTCCACCTATACGTTGCCCCTTGTGCTCGTCTCACTCGTGCCGCATCTTCCTCACTCTGGCTTTCGGGGTGTCGTTTCATTATGTTTCATTCTTATCTCGGATTTGTGCAACTTGGATCGATTACTTATTCGCCCTCTTGAACCCTTTGCGGACAGCGGCGATGACGACATCGGAGCTGCTCGGAGATGCTTGGGGGAAGGGGGTTGGCGGCCGCAGTAATGCCTGTGGGCCATTTCTTCTTCTTCTTCCTCCTCCTCCTCACAGCCGGTTTAGGGTTTAGGGTTTAGGGAAGCCTCGCAAATATTGCCATGCCTGCATTAGCGAGTGTGTAAGTCGAAAGCCTCGCAAAAGGTTCGGCGTCCTTGGCGTCTGCTATGGCGCTTGGGTGGGCTTCCACCTGGCCAAAGCCGTGCCTTCCTGGGAGCTGCCCCTCGGATGTGACAAAAACCCTGCAGCAGTTTTTATTTCAAGGATTTGTATAAGAATGAATGTGTATGTGGTCCTTCAAGGCATTCATATGTGTTGTCTTTGTCTAAGGATCTGTGTGGTTGCTGATATTGTTTTAGTGTTCAGTGTTTACGTTTCTTGCGTCGTTCTGCCACAAATGTTGGCGGTGTTGGGACTCACTGGCTAGGCAGGAATTCAGGCGAGTGCACAGGTCATGCAACCAGAGGAATTGGCGGCTTGGGATTTCAGTGCCACGAAATCAGCAGTTATAGCAGGCTGAGAACCCGTATGCAGCATAGGAGTGCATACTGCAGCTGCACTCGCCCGAGGTTATGATAAGTGCATAATGCGGCCGGCACGAGCATATACTTGCCCCAGCAAGAGTGCGCATTCTGCCCTTCCCTCCCAAGCTGCGAGTCTAGGCTTGAAGTTTCAAAGAGTTCGGGCAGCGCAGCCAACCGTGTGCCTAGCGACCCACGGCACTTTGTAGGCGTAGGAGCAGCAGCCGGGAAATGAAAGAAGTGGACATCGTTTCACTGGGCCTGGGAGGATCTGCGGGGCCTCACCGCATCCCAGCCTTCACATGGAGGGCGTGGTGGGAGGACCATGAGAGTCGCTAATTGATCTTGTCTTTGCGGACATAAGCTAGCAGCTAGGCGACACTCCCAATCTGTGTTCTGACTTTGAACTGTAGTACCTTCCCCTTCCGCTTGTGCTTGTGCATTTTCAGACCCCGGTGTAAGGGCGTCGGGGACGAAACCGCGAGTTTGGGCCAGGGGTCGTAGACCCTAACACCTGGTGCACTAGACTTTCCCAAACCCTAAATCCCACAATTCTGAACCCTAAGCCCCTCAGAGCTCTCAGACCTTGTGAGCCCTACAAGCTCGAGAATATCCGAAACCCGAAGCCCGAAAACCCAAGCTTTGAAACCCTGACCCTGCAGTTTTGGGCAAACACCCCCAAAACCTGAAGCCGCTGCCGTAAAACTTTAAAACCCCCGAAACCCGAAACCCTAACCCCGAATTCGTAAACTTCGGAACTCCAAACCTGAAGCCCTAAGCCTGAAGTTCCAAAGCTCCAGGAGATCCGGCGGCCTTGGCTTCGGAGATCCGATGTCCATGGGCCTTCTTCCCCTGTGGGGAAGTAGGCATCTTTAGGGCTCGCGGGGCTTTTTAGGGTTTAGGGTTTGGGGCTTTTTTAAGGCTTAGGATTTAGGGTTTGGGGCTTTTTAGCGCTTAGGATTTAGGGTTTGGGGCTCTTTGGGGCTTAGGATTTAGGGTTTGGGGCTTTTTAGGGCTTGAGGGCTTTAGGGTTGTGGAGCTTAGCTGTTGGGATTTCGGGTTTGGGGTTTGAGGGTTTTGTGTTTTCGGTGTTGAGGGTTTAGGACCTGGGTTCAGCGGGGCGTGCTTAAAGGGCTGTAGGTTCCCCGTGCATCGGACGAAAGTCATGCAGGCCTTTGATACAGTGGTTCTGTTCCGGGTAATAAAGTAACAATAAGACTAGCAATAGCTGGTAGAATCGTCATGATTATGGGCTGCCCGCTTAGCTTTCCGATGCATTCCCTCGAGTCCAAAGGTCCTCCACGAAGCCTCTCAACACAGCAAAGAGGTCAGAATAATTGGTGCAAAGATAACCCGGCAGTCCCTGCAACGCCTACAAGTATACTCCCGTATGCCCTGAAGTCGAATTCTCAGGATTATAAAGGCCCCTAGTTTGACCCTGCTGCAGGGAAAGACGGAGCGGATCCACCCATTTACGATGCGGAAGGGGACGTCTTCCGGGCACTGGAAGCACGCTTTCCAGGCAGAGGATGATATACTTTTCGCGAGCAAGCGCTTGTGTTAGTTATGTTCACAAGAAGATGTCATTGTGAGCGTCGGTATACATGTTGACAGGTACAATCTAGATGGTGGAAGTATATGGTTCGTTGTAGTTCGGCGTGCTGCTAGACGGCCCTGTATGCTTTATATTTCAAACCATTTCCTCAATTGCCAAGTTTTGCCATGATTGACGTGTTTCCTTGGTGCGAGGCTGTGTCACGGTAGGCGCATGTCAGGAACAGCTTGTGCTATTGCATGATTTCGCGGAGGGACGAAGAGTGTGTGGTTGCATAGCCCTGCAACAGGTTGTAAGTCCACAGCCCTGGACAGGAAAGAATGTGACAAAGAGGTATCGCACCGTCCGGCATGGATTCTTCGCCCGCGGTGCAATCAAAGACGGTCAGTTCAAGGTGGGCTGAGGCTAGGGTTATAGGGTTCAGGGTTTAGGCTTCTAGGGTTTGGGTTTGGTGTGATTTTGTGTTTGCCAACTTCGGAGTTGGATGCTGCGGGCGATAAATGTAAATAGACAGCAGGTAGACATGCCTATAGACAATGCAGTCTGTATGTGTATTTGAATTTAAGCATTCTGTGTAGATACATATGTATATACATATATATATATATATATATACATATGCAAAGTATACACGCGCACGCGCCCTTTACTCATTTCATCAATACAGGATCCTGGCTAGAGATTGAGACCTCGGAGTGTGCAAATAAATGCTGGAGATTCGGTGTTCAGTTCTACACCCGAAATCATTCAGCCCATCGCCACGAGTGAACGAATCGGAGAGGATCCGGGTAGCCCTCTGGCTTTCTATGTTGTGTAGCGCTCTGCATGTCATGAATTTTGATTGCGGCACATAGAGGAGGATCTTGCGGACATCATGGTTGCTCGCTTGTGCCACTCGAACTAGTGCTATTTCTGCTTCCGCTGAATCTGTACCCACTGTATATCACTGCGTGAGCCTTGGACCTGCAGTCGAGGCAGGCGATGGCGATCAAGTGAAGAGAGCAGTGGCAGAATGCGTGTCAGACGTGTCCTCGTTCTTCCGGAAGAGAGGCGCCCGGTTCATGCTTAAGGTCGCACTGAGACTTGGACTTGGGCCCTGTAATCCGTGCACGCTGCCATTCGAGCATAACGACGGCAGGTTGCATGCGGCTTGGCTATCCAGCGCGCAAATTTTTTGGGACTCAGCCAGGCAAAACTCACATTTAGATTCAGATGATGATGTACTGTTTTCAGGAGTTCCCCTGTAAGGGTCCTTAGTTTCCCGGTCACATCACTGTTGAAGCCAAGCTCCAGCGAATCTACAAGTTTGGCTTTTCTTGTCTGCGCTGTAACGCTGTAGGAGCGATGTTCAGACGGAAGGTTTGGGGTGCTTGAAGCAAAGGATTTCGGGCTCAGGGATCGTCGGGGCAGATGCTCCGGAATTGAGGGCTTCAGGGATTTTGGCTTTGGGGGCATTTTACGGATTCAGGTTTCGGACTTTGGAGTTCAGGCGCTAGGGTTGAGGACTTCAGCACCTTCCGGTCTCTGTGCACAGGCCTCTTCAGGGCGGATGCGCGCAGCTATCTTCGAATGATCTGCTGGTGTTGCTGCTAGCACTGCTGAGTTGATCTAGACTGCAGTCAGGGAAGCCCATGAGAGCATACAAGCACAAATTTGACACAGCGCACCATAAAGAGCACAGTGCTGAATAACAGAGTACCATCTCGAGATGCACGGCTATCAGATATCACTAACATGGATATTTACTATGTACTGCATCATGGAGCCTGTGGGTGTAGGAAAGTTCAGGATGTACAACCCACTAATTGTTGATGCTGTTTCGTTCCAATCTTGCACAGATAGACTTTTGATTTTGGAATCTGCAGTGTGCATCATGGACGTAGCAGGGCGGTGGGAAGCAACAGTGAGGAAGCCTCCTGCCCACACTCTGAACTTCAAATCTTGTAAAGCCCAAGGCTCTTAGGTCGCACTTTTGTCTCCGAAGAGTGGGGGGGGCCCATCCGAGGCTGCCCTCATAGGAGAAAGAAGCCCGCTGGTCTGAACTTCAGATCCAAAATGCACCGGGTACGTCCTGGCGTTTTAGGATCCTCGCCTCAGGTTGGGGGTTTCGGGGGTTTCCGGGCCTTAGTCTTGCATATCGGGACTACAAGGACGTACTCCTTGCAGCTATTCAGGCCACCCTGTTCCGTGTTTTGAACTCTCAGAACCATCGAAACAACAAGAGCAGAATGGCCATCCAGAAAGGCCTCGGTCTTGTGGATTCCAGCCAGCTAAATGCTTCAGCAAACAGGCTTGGTTTTGAGTCGAGGCGTGAAATTCCGAACAGAACAGAACTGAATATGCCTTGCACAGCATAACATGGCGACACATGAAATATAAAGCACCGAACTATCAAAGCATAGCCTAAGATAACATGACATTACGTTGCATATCACAAGAGAGCATGGCATGGCATGGTGCATGGCATGGTATGTATAACACGACATATCATAGCAATTCATTGCGTAGCCTGGTAGCCTGGAAGAGCAGAGCTTAGCAGAAAGTACGATAACAAAACATACGCAACGTATGACAGCATACCCGGGCATGCCATGAAGCAACATGCTATGACATATCATAGCATAGCATAGCATCACATAGCACGAGACAGCCTCAGCGTGTAACAGATTTTCGCATAATATGACACACCGTAAGAATACACAAGGCTTCTGAACCAGCGCATATGCCAACCTCAAAGCACGACGCTGGAAAGCAACATGCATCTACATGTGAATGTTCGAGCCCTAGTCATGACGATGTTCACTTTTACCACCATCACTGTCACCATTCCCGTCAACACTATCACCATCGCCATCGCCAACGTCATCGTCGTCATCATCATCATTGCCATCATTATTTCGGCCCGAAAAGTTAATGAACTATCCACCAGTAAATAAGCCAAAACACCAAGAACCAGGCGAAGACACGCTTGCTAAATCTCCGAATTAGAATTGTTTCCCGATGCGGTAAAATCAACGGTATATATCTGTACACGCCTATATATATACACATGTATACATGTGTGTGTACGTGTCTCTATCTATCCATCCATCCATCGGTCTATCTGTCTATCCATCCATCTTTCAATCTACCTACCTACCTATTTGCAAGGATCGATTTATCTATCTATCTATCTATCTATCTAACTATCCGTGTATATACACATATGTATATTTATGTATATATGTACGTATGTATGCACACGCACACTTACATAATGCATGTATATATGCATACATATATATACAGATATTTATATAACGTGTGTGTAGTGTGAGAGCGAGCGGTATATGTATATCCATCCATTTTTCCAAAAAGTTGGTTCATCTAGATACAAATCTACATACAGACAAAGATACAAATCCATTCATACACAAAAATATGATTGCAAGGGGCTTGGTACCCTATTGAATATATTACATGAATGGTGTGTATGTGTAACTGTGTAAATGTATGCATATATATATATACAAAATACCTCTTATTATGTTCTGCAAGAGCAGAAGACAAGCAACCAGAGTTGCCGCAGGATGGGCCTAGGCTGTCGGCCCGCGATTCGGAGGAAGCAAGGCGGCTAGCAGCAGCTTGGTCGCGGCTTTGGCGGGGCTCGGGTTCCAGTTTCAGCCTTGGAGGATGGGGGAGCTCGGGCCGCGCATCCTGCGTTCGAAGCACCCTGAGTTCCATGCATTGGTCAGCGAGTTCGCCCCCAGAGCCCTGCTCCCTAAAGAACGTCAGATCCACGTGCTGAAACATCTTTGAGTCAGTAAACTGCACCAAGCTCAAGATGATCGTTTTGCGCCTTTGTCACTGTGCACCGTCTCGGTGTGGCATCTCCGCTTTAATCAGACCACAGCTGCTTATCCAGTCGCCGTGTGGCCACCGCTGTTACATTCTGCCTGCTTCACAGTTTCAGCACATCATTGACGATGTGGGGCTCTCAAGCTTGCCATATGCGGGCGACCCTTTGGCCCTGACTAGCCCTTCCAGACGGGGCAAGCTTTTGGAATCGCTTGTCAGGGACGTTCTCGGGCAAACTCCTCCCACAGACAGCGATGCGGACGCAAGCTCCATTGGATGTTGTGTCAATGGGAGGCGCAAAGGTCGCCATCAAGCCGAATGGGATTTGACAGTCAGGGGCAGGAAAGTCGAGGTAAAGGCTTCTTCACTTTCTTTCGACGTACAGCATTCAACGTGGCGAGTATGTTTTACATGCGTGAAATTCGCACGAGACGGATACAGGGACTTCCAACCCTTCGACGATCTTTACCTGGTCATTTACTCACCATCTGGCTTTCACATCTTGTTGCATGACCAACAGACAGGAGTTTCAACAGCGGGTGTCAGAACGCAAATTCATGGCCACAACATCTTCGTACGCGGATCACGCAACGAAACATGGACTGACGCCTTGCCGACCATTTTGCACAAGATGTTGCAAGACGGGCAATGCAAGCTGGTTGCCCATGTGAGCATGAGGGAGTCAAGGGCCCAGGCGCTCTATGCGAGACTTAGTGAGGAAAGCACCGCAGCTTTTGAGAACGTTTATTACGATATTCCACTGGGCAAGATGAACCCAGTAATTCGAGGGCATCGGATTCAGCAAATCGGCCTGGAAATTGATCGCTTGCGAAATCCCTCGGCGCAATTCGGGATACCCACAGACGAAATAGCGGAGAGCGGCATCAGGCGAGGAAGACACAATGCGACGGTCGACTGGGTTAGAGATGATGTCAAGATCGAACTCAAGCACGCCAAGGTGAGATACCACCCGCGTGGCGAGTGGATGGTTGAGTTCTCAGGCATCAAAGCAGGCATGGCAGACAGGCAGCAGACGCAACAGTTTGACGAACTGTGGCTGGCCATGTACAGCCCATGCGGCCTGCACTTCCTTAAGCATCCACCATGCTATGACTTTCTTTCAAGCACAGGGTTGAGGACGGAGGTGCACGGTCGGCGGCTTGCTGTTTGCGGATCGCGTGGTGCACATGTATCAGATGCGGTCGAGGGCATAAAATTGAAGCTGTATGCCCGCGGCTGCACATCGCTAGCCACAGTTCGGTGGCAGTGATGACCATGTCCTGCTGCAAGAGCGAGAGCAACACAGATCATGGTTGGTGCAATCTGCAGGCAGTTTGCAGATGAGGGTCGTGTGTTTTGGCGTTGCGGGCCCAGGTGGGTTTTGAAGGATTGCAGTTGCGGTTTCTTTTGGTTTCGGCCTGGATGGACTTGGCATTCTGTTTGCGACGAGAGGTTTACTGCGATTCGGGGTTTCATGTCGAACGCGCCCAAGCCCTGAATCGTCTAAGATGCGCGCCTGCGTGGCATGTAGGGCTCCAGGTTTCAATGTGCCTCATCTCTTTGATCACCAGATCCCTCTTGGCAGCTCGCTGTAAGGAAGATCTGCCAGACTTGATGGAGTGTTGCTGCGTAACCCTGAGTTTGGCAAAGCCATCAACCTCAACCCCCGGAAGGCGGAACCTTACACTCCGAAGCCTGACTTTGCCTTGGGGACTCTTCGTGGGTTTAGGGTTTAAGGCTTATTAGGGTTTAGGATTAAGGGTCCGTGGGTGTGAGGATAGGCATGAGCTGAGGCTGCCGCGAAGATCAGGGCATTGGCGCCTCTTGTTTATCTCCGGTTTTAGGTTGTCGGAGTTTTTCAGGTTGAGGGTTCGAAGCACAGCCCGGACCCCCAATCTTAAACCGTAACAGCCAGGAGACCACACGAAACCCTGAACTGTAAGCTGGAAGTTTCAATCGAGGGTCTGGGTTTAGATTCCTTGAACTACTTATACCCTAAACCCTAGAATCCCAAACCTCAAGCCCCAAACCTGAATCCTCAACTCCCCAAACCCTCCCTGCCTCGCCACCCCGTTTACCCAGGCAGAGTCGGTGAAGTTCCCGGTGCCCTCCTTGAACTTCCGAAAGTTTCAGGTTGTTGTTTTTGTTTTTGGAGGGGGGGGTGATTCTTGCGGTTGAGTTGGCGGTGTTTCTAGTTTTGGGGAGCTTTCAGGCTGTTGTTAAGGGTTTCTAGAACTTCTGGAGGTTCAGGGTTTTAGGTGTTTAATGGTCCAAGGTTTAGCTCCTTGCGGTTTTAGGGTCCATGGACTTAGGATTTGATGGTTTTGCGGATTGGAGGGCTTGCGCACCTAGAGGAAGAACCTTAGGCTACAGGCGTCATCATTTTTCAATATTTTACATGTGTATGTGTCAAGCTTATCGCTCAGTAGTGCGCCGATGGTTGGAACTCACTGGGTGAGCACGAAGGCGGTTCGCGTCTGACGACTGAGTACGGAGGGGAGAGAGAGAGAGGTCAAGTCTCACGCCGACCCTCCGGACAGAGAGAGAGAGAGGGAGAGGAGAGGGAGAGGGCCTACGAGCGCCATGTACTTCAAAGTCTTCGGTCCTCGGAAACCCAGGATCTGGAAGCACTGTAGTCAGGCTCACTCCAATCTCCAAGCCATTGCTTCTCCGAGGGCCTCAGGTGCAGTTGCCAGAAAATCGGAAGCGCAGGGCCCAAACTTTGGAATCCTAAACGCCTTGACAGAACTATGTGG